CGTAATGTATCCTGTACACTCCACTTTCCAATCGACAGCCAGTCACATGACAAGTTAACCCGCGCCCCACGGGGGGGCTATTCATAGCCCCCCTCCCGTTTTTCTGCAATAACTTCCAAACCACTTGACGTATCAACGCCAAACTTTCAGTACCTTCGGCTGCATCAATTTGACACCTTGTGGCAAAATTTGAACTTCGTAGCTACCATAGATCGGCCGGAAATGACGTCAGAGTGACGTCATGTTCGGCCGATTTCGACGCAAAACATTGAACCACGGCAATCGCTCCCAAGAGCTCAGTTTTTAAGCGAGATCTAATTTCTTTGCATGAAAGGACTAAAATTGACTGCGCTATCAAACTGCTGTCTCGGATTTTCAAAGTTTTGAAAATTTCGAAAATTGTATATAATAATATTCAAAATTTATATTTTTATATTTTTTCAAAAAGTTTTTGACTTTTCGAAAAAAACCGGAATACATGTCACAGAACGCATGCCTCTGACTAACCCTAGCAAGTTTTAGCTAAATATCTTAAAAAAATGGCCAAGTTATACGCATTATTGCAAAAATTCACAATTATTAATTTTTCAAAACAATTTTTCAGTACGTATTTGACATCATACACCAATATAAATAGCACCATCGTGTTCCTGAGCTCAAACTGCATCCAATAGACACCTTTTTTGTAGAAAAAAATTTAACTTCAAAATTTGACCTTTTTTGACCTGAAAATGACCTGACCTCAGCTAAATTCGACTCAAAATGACCTCGAATGACACAGACGACATCAAATTCGAAATCTATTGCCTAAATGGATCATAAAACATGTGTCACGTGACCGAGGCATGATATAATATTTCCGTGACCTGTGATGACCTGACCCTGAGTTGAAAATCACAGTACAAGTTTGGTACCCTCAAGGTATCTAGAACATCTGTTCACGAGTGTGTAAACCAAAAATGAGCCTGATCTGACTTGTAAGACGGCGGCCAGAGCCCAAAATGTGAACAAGCCAAAATGCTAATAATTTTTACTTTGACCTGACCTGTGACGTCATCGGTGACCTTGAGGTCAATCAAATTAGGTGTCGTTCGACAGTTTTTCCGGGGCTATCAGACGCCGTTTGAATTTTGACGATCGGCCCGGTAGTTTCGGAGTTAGGAGGGGGGGGGGGGGGGGCTATGGAGAGCCCCCCCCCTCAGTAGGGCGTGTTATACGCAGACCCCAGTGGGGCGCGGGTTAAGACAGTCACAGCCAGTCAAGTGGTGCTATAGCAGTGGCTCAATGATCGATTCGATATCACCCAGCACGGCTCAAAGGTCAAACCTGAATTAACTCCAATCTCACACAAGCCCCCTCGACCTTTACAATAAACGCATACTTTTGTTTCGCCACCCACACATCCTCTTGTTTTCTACGCTTCTGAGGGTTTCCTGTCGTCTTCTTAAACAGTTCGTTACATTTTGTCTTTTATTTACAGTCTTTTGTTTTCCTTAGGGCGGGTTTCATTCATAAAATTGCTCAGGTAACGTGTTGCTACATCATAGTTCCCGTACTCAGCTGAAGAAAAGTTTTTTCTTCTCGAAGCTTGTTAGGTAGGACTCTTACATATTTTCATCATCTCAAAATTAGTTTCTTGAGTGCAAAGCTAAGAGTCTTAGCGCTGTATTATAGATTGTGCGCCCAGGGATGGCAACGACAGACGGTATCTGCGCTATATAGGATGACAATCCCATGTAAGAAGCCTATCTAAAAAAAAAAACAAACAAACACTCCATGGCTGTCCGCTTCCTACGGTTGCGGTATCATTTGCTAATGATTTGTTCCACATGAAGGACCGTTCTAAGCTCATTCGATATTATCTCCGTAAATATACCATCTCGCTAACGATGATGGTAGCATCCCTTTACCCCCCCCTCTCTCTCTCTCTCTCTCTCTCTCTCTCTCTCTCTCTCTCTCTCTCCTGGAAGCTAAGTTCTTTAGCTGTGAGTGCTCCGGAAAAAGGCGAGGTCTGCAGCTCACCGTCTCTAACGACGACCCATTGGAGGCTGGAGCTAATGATACCCTCCGGGCACACGGCTCACATCTCCACAGCCCCCCCCCCCTCCTCTACCCCATCGAGATGGGTAGACCCGCACCCCTACCGCGCGAGGCAGACAACGCAATAACGCATCCGTAGCTCCACAACGACGGGAAGAAACGCAGCCTCTCCACGGGACGTGACAGCGGGCACCTACTCTTAACCTACCTAAATAGACGTTTCTTCCTTCCCCTGGACAGAAAGGACAGCCTTGCCCGCTGGGCAGACGTCATACCTCTCTCCCTAAACAGACAGCTCTCCCTCTGCCAGACAGCCGCACAGCGAACCTCACTCCTCCCTCCGGGCAGGCACCGCGCGCTCCCTCCCCCTCCCCTCCCTCCCCGATCGGTCGGCAGGCTGACACCGCCTTGTGCCAGACTCTTCAGGAGCGATGCTGACAGCTCCCGTAGGCCTGCCATCGCCGGTGGCCGGATATGGCAGCACTAATGGCGTGTCCTTGGGATATGGCAGCGCTGATGGCCTATCTAGTAGACGAGAGGCGCTGCCTCGGGAGGGCAAAGAATAGTAAAGGGTGGTGGGAAGACGCACATGCGCTACGTTACGTCCTGATTAACATGTTGGAGAGGTGGCTGCAGATGGTGCCACGTCGTTAGCTCGCTTTTAGCTCTACCCTGAGATGCAATGTAATTGATTTTTGCTATATGCCTCTGTTTAAAACATATTTAACCCGCGCACCGACGGGGGTCTGCGCCAACTTCGCACCGACGGGGGGGGGGGGCGGATGACCGCCCCCCTGAGATCTCGAGAACGAAGCAAGCTAGCGACAAGCGGTAAACGGCATCGGATACGCACGGACAAGGTCTACAATTTTTATTAAGATCATTTTCAGGTCAGGTCAAAGATGACGTCACAGGGGTCCAAAAAGTCAAAATGGCGGCGCTAGATATGGAGAGAGTTTTTATCGAATAACTTTCGAATTAGTCAAGATAGGAACAAACTAAGGGCATCATCGTGATCCTCTCGTCAATCCGCATCGAATGATATATATGTTGACCTCGAAAGGTCAAGGTCAAAGGTTGACCTCAGGTCACGTGACCTCGAGGTCATCATGTATATCATTCGATGCGTCTTGACGAGCTGAACACAATGAGACCATCCGCGCGGCTGTATCTTGTTCCTGTACGGAGTTATTGGCAAAAAATCGCTGGTGACCTTTTGATGACGTCACATGACCTTACAGCTGCCCAACAGCAAAACAGACCTCAAGGTAGTGAAGGTTGATCGTATATGAAGTCATGTATGGTAGATGGGGCCATTCCGACCCGTTTTAGTGGTAAAACAGGGAGTTGATTTTTCCCCCATTGACTTATAATGGGGAGGTCGCGAAATTGACCTGACCTTAGGTCACCGTCATCAAAATTCCGAGATATGCAAATTGTAGCTACTAATGACCTAATAACATCCTGCGACTTTCAAAGGCCTCCGACATCTACTGTAGCTCTGGCACGGTGACAAAGTTGCAAAAAGTGACTTGAGGTTGGGTCATTCAAAGTGACCTGGTGACCTGACCTTGAAAGTTAGGAGGTTCAAACTTGCACACCATGTGCAAAACTGATGAGAGAATAGTCGTACCAAATTTCGCGGCGCTACGCGCCGCGGTTTTCCCGCTATCCGCGAAAAACCTCAGGGGGGGGGGCGGATATCCGCCCCCCCGTCGGTGCGCGGGTTAAAATGTTTTATCGTAGTTACATTGAGCTGTATGCAGTGGCATCTTGCGCCATTAACATCGTGAAAGTTGCACATGCGTTCTCTCCGCATTCATTTCTTAGTTGGACTCAAGCAAACAAGCGAACACATTTGCCAGAGAAACAATGTCGCTTTTCGTTTGTGTCAGACGTGCGTCGCACTTACGTCATTTGAAAACTGCCGGTCTCTGGGGACTGGCGGTCGGCACACAGACTCTCTACCGCCGTTTATCTTGTAGAACAGAACCGCCGCTGCAAACACACGGCGTGGGAGATGCGCGCTCCTCAAAAGTCGGCCACCGTTTTCCATTTGTGTGAATCTGAAATTGGATGGTATGAGCACAGCAGTCAGAGGGCCGAGCGCAGAATGGTATAAAAATGTCTGCGAAATAGTCGTGCGGGAGAGATGCGTTCTAAGACTCCGCTGATGAGTCTCTAGAGTCAAGTCTCCGGGGTCAAATTTTCAGGGTCGATTCTTCAGGGTCGAGTCTCCCGGGTCAGATCAGACTGATGAGTCTCCAGAGTGGACTGTCGCCGGAACAACCCATCACCTGCCAAACTGGCGTCGCCTGAAGAGGTAGAACTCTGGAGCTCCGTGGAACTCAATGCGATGACTGTGTACTGTCAAGTGTGCCTCACACTGCACTAATGCTGCATCCGTGTTGACCTCGACTTCATTCAAGACGACTGGGTGCAAGTTTGTGAAGCCGTCGTCCCGCGGAACTAAGCGGTGCTGTCGACAGTTTCCGGCCGCGCTGCGGACATAGAGACGGATGGGCCACTTAGAGTGTTGGCGCCGGCTGTGTTCCACTTTGAGCGTCTGCCTACGGCGCGGGAGGGCCAAATCTCGGTCAGCCGAACAGCATAGGCAATGCTGGCGATGCGAGGGCTGTGTGAAAATGGCGGCTGAGCGAAAATATCAAACATTATGTGATGTATTACCACGTTGCCATATGGGATTTTTTTTACCTCACTTAGTGATTCGTTTAATTTATGCATTTATTTTTTTCTGTTCGGAGGTGGCTTTTCTAACATTACCAAACTATCCATGTGTAAAGCATTTGCCCTATTCTGCTGTATCCTAGCTTGAAATGCTTGAAATGAAGACGTACCACCCCGACATTGTGTGGTACGCCTTCACAAAATGTCTGTCTAAGTACGCAGGCCATTGACGGTTCCGTGTCGCGACTTAACCGCCATCTCTCTGTCCCCAGGTGGAGGTTCTCGACCAAACCAAGAACCACCGGCGCGTCCCGAGCAGCAGAGCAACTTCTCACAGCCGCGGTTCTCGAACCTGACCCGGTTGCGGGTCATAGGTCAAGTCGGCACGCCTGTCTACCTGACCTGTCGAGTGCACAACTTGGGCGACAGAGCGGTGAGGACTGGTTATAGCCGGTTACATGGGCCTGGCCTGGGTCACAGGGCTAACATTCAACAGGTAGTGCTAATGGCTTGTGGCTTATTTTGATACGCGAGATGCTGCATAAAGAAAGATAGGTATATGTATAGGATACAGCTTAACTATAGTGAATTACAAGTTAATGATTGGGGCACGCGGTCATTCATGCTACCAACAAATACAGTGTTTGCCAAGCCAAACGAAATGAGAATGAAGCCAGAACAATTTGGTGTAGAAGCTAAAAGCTCCATAAAATATATATTCTTAACTAACTTTCCTTGGACAGCAACGCATCAATCTGTTTTCTTCTGTCGTTGGCAGGTTTGCCAATGTATTATATTATTCAATAGTTGTTATCGTCTGGAGACGCTCTAATTGATGTTTCCGTGCTATTTATTGCACTTTTATGGTGTCATCAAGTATGTATAGGCATTAGGCATGTATAGGCGTGTAGCGCACTGTGTTGGGTGTATACATAAGAGGCATGTCTAACGAAAATTTTAACCGAATACGCTTAAAGGGAAATTGAACCCAGAGGTTATCATTATTTGACGTTTTTTTTTTTGGCAAATGAAAAAAGTATATAAGCGATGTCCTAAAACGTGTTATTGAACTACAAGAATCCGATATATCCGATGAAAAATCAAAGCGACTGGGATAACCTTGACCATTGCCTCCCCCTTATCCATTGTCCATTGTTTGGCTAGACCGCGAATCCTTTAGCTGCTAGCCGTTATGACGATAAGATAACGGGGCCGTCGCGCCACAGTGCCCTTTCTGTCCTGACGAGTGGGGCCGCGTCGATAACAGCCAAGGCTGAGCAGAGCCGCACAAACAAAGCCAATCTTGTCCTCGATATCAGCGCAATGAGCTATGGCAAGCTATCGGGAGAGGTGCGCTAGAAATCGGTGAACAATAACTGGAATATGATGCAGCGAGCCGGTGCGCAACAAAGGACAATAATATTTAGAGAATAATTGCAACAGAAACAACAGCATTGTTTCTGTTGCAATTATGTTTTGGATTACTTTTAAAATCAAAATAATATATATTATGCAGCTGGTAAATAACTGCTTGAAGTCAGTAGTCAAACGAATACAACTCAGCGCATGAGGCATAAATCTAGCATGATGGATAGTTGCGTAAATCTGCTAAACTGATTGATTTCCAAAGTTACTGATTTATGAGTGTAAAATGTGCTCAACGGGACAATGTGTCTTTTGTGTGAAAACTTTTCCTGGTGCGGTGTGATTTTTTTTTTAGATTCTTATAAAACTTTTAATTTATGTATGTTCATTGTTTATGTGCAAACGGCACCGGTATATGATTTCCCTCGATTCTGTATGCGTCTGCACTCCACAGTGATTCCTTCTCGCTGCCTGTCTGTGAAAATGACCCTCTCATCGCAATCCTCATGCCCATTAAGTGACCCACCCTTTCCGCCCTCTCCAGGTATCGTGGGTGCGTCGTCGTGACCTGAAGATCCTCACGGTCGGCATGTTCGCCTACACCTCCGACCACAGGTTCACAGCAGCTCACTCGGAGGGCTCTGAAGAGTGGGTGCTGCGAATCGCCAGTCCCACCGAACAGGATTCGGGAGTGTACGAGTGTCAGGTGTCCACTGAGCCCAAAATGAGCCTGCCAGTACATCTACAAGTCGCAGGTGAGTTGTGCGAATTGAATTGGGGCTGGGCGAGAAGTGAGGGACTTGCTTTAAAAGAAAGATGCAAGGATGAAAAGGCTACACCAAAACAATATGACCGGACCCTTGCATTGCACAATGCTCAAGGCTGACGCAGCATGGAATGCAAATGTAGACGGGCTAGAATAATATGTGCTATATTTGAAAACCTTGACATCAAACCCCCAACGAACAGCTACCGGCTGCCCCAAGCAACTCTCAGTGACAAAATTAACGTCTCCGGTACTATAGCCCTCACTTCTCGATGACACATTCACAGCGTCTCAGGCGCCAATCCTCAGTGTTAGGTGCTACATCCACAATGTTCCTACTGCGTCAAACTTGCCACATTCACAATGTTCCTGCGGCGTCAAGCAGCGACCATTAGGGGCGCAGACAATGGTAACCGTCAGTGATCCATTACCCTATGTAAGCCGGACACTATTGATCAAACGCCTTCGCACCGGACCTGTGCCGATTGGGGCGTCATATCCGGCGCAGCACCTACTACATAAGTGTCTTTCGTGCCCACGTACGCAAGGGTGGTGTAAGAGGGAATAGATATTTTATTGAGAACTGCCAAAGAGGTGCTGAGACGTTTGAAAATCGGGGTATTTGTTGAGAGCTAGGATTCACATTAGCAGTTTGCAAATGGAATCCCATTCTCCCTAATTTATACATCTGAATGGTGATAGGTGCTGTTGATGACAAAACAACTTTGAAAATCAATTTGTAACCATTACCCTGCATGGAAACTAGTTTGCACCATTTTTTGACCTCAAATAACCATCGCAAGCACCACCATCTTCATCATCCGTCACCACCATCCACGACACCACCATCCCCCACCGCCACCACTACCACCAACACCAACACCAACAGCCTCACCACTACACCAGCACCACTGCCGCGTTCCACGCCACCATTATCCGAAGGGCCGCTCGTTTTCTGGCGTTCGTGTGCCTGTCACTCGGCTGGGCCAACGGCCGGGCACGCCGAACAGAGGGCTTTTTCAGGAGAAAACGTGCTATTGCCGGCGCCGGCACCGTCAGTGGCTGAACGTGACGGTCGCTGCCGGGTTATTATTTGGGGTTACTGCTGGTCACTGGGTGTTTTTGCTTTAGAGACTTAGAGCTAGTGTCAGAGCCCCTGCTACAGTCTATCTCTACGTCAACGGAGCTACTCGAAATTTACCAGAATGGTCACATTGTCGGAAAAGCCACGTTAGTGAAAATTATGCAACGATGTACCCATATATATATATATATGGGTAAAATGATTCGCAGGTGTCCTAACTTATGTAGACAGAGCTATCCGCGTAGAGGTGCCTTTACGAACCCTCTCCTCTCCTTTTCACAGAGTCGCGGGCGGTGATCGCCGGGCCCCGCGAGCTCTACCTGAAGAGGGGAAGCAGCATCAACCTCACGTGTACGGTGTTGGCTGCGCCGGAGCCACCGGAGCACATCCTCTGGCACATCAACAACATGGTAAGAAGTAGCGGGGTGAGAAATAGTAAGAAGTGGCGGGATGATGGCGTGGTGAGATGCCGTGGAGCAGAGTGAGAACATTGAGAGGCAGTGGGGTGAGAGCACGATGGAAGGAAGACTGCAGAGAAATAAGAGCATGATGAGAGGTCGAGGATGAGAGAGTGGTGAGAAAAATGGTTGAGTGAGATTATGGTAAGAGGTGGCGTGGCGAGAACATGATGAGTGGCGGTGAAAAGAATGAGAACTAGGGTAAAACATGGTGAGACAGTCCTGGCTTCAGTAAATTGCTTATAATGTCTGTTCAGATTTGATAATAGGTATAGAAGACGACTGTGGTTCGTGAATGAAGTTTTCTTGCCAGCGACTTTCGACAATGCAGAGAGGATGCTAACTAGTTGCTCGGGCTGCTTACTGAATCAAATATTTATCATAATTGCTGCAAGGCAGCTTGCAAGAATCATTGCACATTTGGACCCTCTCTGGAAACATTTAACCTGGGCAAGACTTTGCTGAACTTTGAATAGTCTGCAAGATAAAATCAAAACAACTGCACAAATGCTCTTTGTCGCTGAAGCACCAACACAAGAGCATTATGCATATGATTAGAAATAAAAAATAATGCAACAGTTTTGCATATCGTGATGTTCGCTCACATAGTTTTCATTGGTTTTATCCTATGCATATGATGTCCCTTTTCGACAGCATGTTTTGATGGTGGCAAATTATGAGTAGAATTTGTTACTACTCTAACATCACGTACATAAATCTACCAGCTACTTTTGTCTCTCCAAATAGCATTCGACATGGATCACTATGCATCGTGGTATATATTATAATATGTTAGCATGTCTATTTTACGTCTAACCTTTCTTGTGATGCGCTTTTCACAATATATCCTATTTGATTCTTTCATTCTCAGCCATTCCGAGGTAAATTCAATAATCCAATTGCAGCCTTACATGACTGTTCCATCAGCAGGACTCTAAAAGACAAATAATAGAGGCGACATTGTGAAAGAAGTAAGGTCCTGTGTTCATTCAATACCCAGAGAGATATTGCAGACAAACACGATGGCGTAATTCAGTGATGAGTTCATCGTCACGCTCCATTTGATCTTTTTTAGCTATTTTTGGTGGGCTGGTTTTGAAAATTACCACCAACTCCTGTAAAGTTGGTGTTTAGTATCAAAAGCACCATTTTGCCACTCTAATGAAATATGGTCTACCTGGGCTAGTGAAACTTGGTGTTAGCATTAACAGTTGGTCAAAGTAAATGCAAATGAACTGTTGCAATTTAAAATATCAATAAAAAAGTAAGCATTCCAACATGCGGCTTGCTTTTGTTTGGGTTGATCAGATGTTAGATACACAGCTGCATCAACACAGCTCCTTGACATTTAATATGCATAATAATGCCGAGTGTGGCTGACGTATGCATGTTTGTAGCTTGACATGTGTAGGCAGAATAGTTCTAGCATTAACCTTACTTCTCATTTTCAGGTGATAAAGTACACAGAGCGGGGAGGTATGTTGGTGGTCACAAACCGACGTCAGCGGACATCAAACCTCGTCATAGCGAAGGCCACGCGACTGGACTCTGGAAACTACTCGTGTAGACCGTCCATGGCACACATAGACACGGTCTTGGTCCACATTCTAGACGGTAAGAACTGCAAGACAGTCAATGGACAAATGGACACGATCCTGGTCAATTATCAACATTATCTACTATTTATAAATCCTAAAAAGTCCGCCGCCGGTTACTCCCAAAAAGGCTTATTGCGGCGCCGTCGATTGACGAACGAGGGTGAAATTTTCACGACTCGTGGGTCACGTCATTCAACAGGTCGTATTAAATTTTGGGCACGATGCGGCCGGGGGTGCGCCCGTGGCGCGTGCTCATGTGCGCCATAGGGTTAGCATTAGAATCGGCAAAAACAGGCTACTGCTCGGGAACGGTAAGGGCTACGGGGGTGAAATTTTCACGCCAAGTCGATCGCGTGCACTCATTTGTCGTATTAAATTTTCGACGGTGTGGGATCAGCGGTGTGCACGTGGTGGGGCCGCGGCCGGCGCCGAGCAAAACGCTCGTGCTTTAGGCTCAGTTGTTCGCTTAAAAACTGACTGGAAATAATCAGAGCCGGCAGGTCATTGACCTTTGACAACGAAGGCCGACACCAGGCACCCCTCGCCAAGGGGATTCGCCAGTAAATACGATAAATTTGTTTTTGCAATATCTCAGCCGTTTCTGGGCCGATTTAGCTGAAAGTTGGACTGTCGGTGGTAGTGTAGTGTAGGGTAGGGTAGGGTAGTGTAGGCCGTAGGGTAGGGTTAGGGGTAGGGTAGGGTAGGGTAGGTTAGGGTAGGGTAGGGTAGGATAGGATAGGGTAGGGTAGGGTAGGATAGGGTAGGGTAGGGTAGGATAGGGTAGTGTAGGGTAGGGTAGTAGGGTAGGGTAGGGTAGGGTAGGGACTAGGGTACGGTATAGTATGGTAGGTTAGGGTAGTAGGGTATGGTAGGGTAGGGTAGGGTAGGGTAGGGTAGGGTAGGGTAGTAGGGTAGGGTAGGGTAGGGTAGGGTAGGGTAGGGTAGAGTAGGGTGGGTTAGTAGGTAGGGTAGGGTAGGGTAGGGTAAGGTAGAGTAGGGTAGGGTAAGGTAGTGTAGGGGTAGGGTAGGGTAGGGTAGGGTAGGGTAGGGTAGGGTAGGGTAGGGTAGGGTAGGGAAGGGTAGTGTAAGGGTAGGGTAGTGTAAGTATAGGGTAGGACAGGGTATGGCAGGGTAAGGTAGGGTAGGGTAGGGTAGGGTAAGGTAGGGTAGTGTAGGGGTAGGGGTAGGGTAGGGTAGGGTAGGGTAGGGTAGGGTAGGGTAGGGTAGGGTAGGGGATTGTAGGGTAGGGTAGGGTAGGGGATTGTAGGGTAGGGTAGGGTAGGGTAGGGGATTGTAGGGTAGGGTAGGGGATTGTAGGGTAGGGTAGGGTAGGGTAGGGGTAGGGTAGGGTAGAGTAGGGTAGGGTATGGTAGGGGTAGGGTAGGGTAGGGTAGGGTAGGGTAGTGTAGGGGTAGGGTAGGGTAGGGTAGGGTAGGGTAGGGTAGGGTAGGGTAGGGTAGGGTAGGGTAGGGTAGGGTACGGTAGGGTTGAATTGAGTAACATCCTAACTTACAAAGGGCTCGAACGACTCGCATGCATTACCATCATACTTTACAGTTCAATTAAAAGCAGTTACCCAGTTATACACAAATAATACCAATAAAGCGCAAGTTTCTACACCCAAAACTAATGCATCCGTCAATCATACATATCAAAACATACAGTCATCGCGTAAACCTGTACCTCTAGTCTACTATTATAAATCTTAAAAAGTCCGCCGCCGTCGGGGTTACGCAGCCGGCGTTACTCCCAAAAATGGCTATTTCGGCGCCGTCGATTGACGCAGGAGGGTGAAATTTTTGCCACTCGTGGGTCACGTAATTCAACAGGTCGTATTAAATTTTGGGCACGATGTGGCCGGGGGTGCTCCCGTGGCGCGTGCTCATGTGCGGCATGGGGTTAGCATTAGGGCCGCGACCGGCGCCGAGCAGAGGGCACGTGCTTTAGGCTCAGTTGTTCGCTTAAAAAACTGAGTGGAATTACTCAGAGCCGGCAGGTCATTGACCTTTGACAACAAAGGCCGACACAGGGCACCGCTCGCCAAGGGGATTCGCCAGTAAATACAATTACTTTGTTTTTGCAATATCTCGGCCGTTTCTGGGCCGATTTAACTGAAACTTGGACTGTCGGTGGTAGTGTAGTGTAGGGTTGGGTAGGGTAGGGTAGGGTAGGGTAGGGTAGGGTAGGGTAGGGTAGGGTAGGGTAGGGTAGGGTAGGGTAGGGTAGGGTAGGGGTAGGGGTAGGGTAGGATAGGGTAGTGTAGGAGTAGGGTAGGGTAGGGTAGGGTAGGTTAGGGTAGGGTAAGGTAGGGTAGGGTAGGGTAGGGTAGGGTAGGGTAGGGTAGGGTAGGGTAGGGTAGGGTAGTGTAAGGGTAGGGTAGGGTAGGGTAAGGTAGGGTAGGGTAGGGTAGTAGGGTAGGTTAGGGTAGAAGGGTAGGGTAGGGTAGTAGGGTAGGGTATGGTAGGGTAGGGTAGGGTAGGGTATGGTATGGTAGGGTAGGGTAGGGTATGGTAGGGTAGGGTAGGGTAGTAGGGTAGGGTAGGGTAGGATAGGGAGGGTAGAGTAGTAGGGTATGGTAGGGTTGGGTAGGGTAGAGTAGGATAGGGTAGGGTAGGGTAGGGTAGGGTAGTAGGGTAGGGTAGGGTAGGTTAGGGTAGAGTAGGGTAGGGTAGGGTAGGGTAGGGTAGGGTAGGGTAGGGGTAGGGTTGAGTTCAAAAAGGGCCCAACATACAAAACACTTGAACACCCCGCAACTATCACCATCCCTTACAGTTCAATTAAAAACAGCTACCCAAATCTACCCAAATAACACAGCTAAAAAGTCAATCACCCAAAACTAATGCACCCGTAACATAACATAAATCAAAACATACAGTTATCGCGTAAACCTGTACCTCTAGTCTATCTACTATTATAAATCTTAAAAAGTCCGCCGCCGTCGGGGTTACGCAGCCGGCGTTACTCCCAAAAACGCCTATTGCAAAGCCGTCGATTGACGCACGAGGGTGAAATTTTCACGATTCGTGGGTCACGTAATTCAACAGGTCGTATTAAATTTTGGGCACGATGCGGCCGGGGGTGCGCTCGTGGCGCGTGCTCATCTGCGCCATAGGGTTAGCATTAGAATCGCGACCGGCGCCGAGCAGAGGGCACGTGCTTTAGGCTCAGTTTCTTCGCTTGCAAACCTGAGCGAAATCAGAGCCGGGAGGTCGTTGACCTTTGGCAATGAATACCGACGCCGGGCACCGCTCGCCAAGGGGATTCGCCAGTAAATACAATTAATTTGTTTTTGCAATATCTCAGCCGTTTCTGGGCCGATTTAGCTGAAACCTGGACTGTCGGTGGTAGTGTAGGGTAGGGTAGGGTAGTGTAGGGGTAGGGTAGGGTAGGGTAGGGGTAGGGTAGGGTAGGGTAGTGTAGGGGTAGGGGTAGGGGTAGGGTAGTGTAGGGGTAGGGTAGTGTAGGGGTAGGGTAGGGTAGGGTAGGGTAGGGTAGGGTAGGGCAGTGTAGGGGTAGGGTTAGGGTAGGGTAGGGTAGGGTAGGTTAGTGTAAGGGTAGGGTAGGGTAGGGTAGGGGTAGGGTAGGGTAGTGTGGTAGGGTAGGGTAGGGTAGGGTAGTGTAGGGGTAGGGTAGGGTAGTGTAGGGGTAGGGGTAGGGTAGGGTAGAGTAGGGTAGTGTAGGGGTAGGGTAGGGTAGGGTAGGGTAGGGTAGGGTAGGGTAGTGTAAGGTAGGGTAGGGTAGGGTAGGGTAGGGTAAGGTAGGGTAGGGTAGGGTAGGGTAGGGGTAGGGTAGGGTAGGGTAGGGGTTGGGTAGGGTAGGTTAGGGTAGTGGTAGGGGTAGGATAGGGTAAGGTAGGGTAGGGTAGGGTAGGGTAGGGTAGGGTAGGGTAGGGTAGGGTAGGGTAGTGTAGGGGTAGGGTAGTGTAGGGGTAGGGTAGGGTAGGGTAGTGTAGGGGTAGGGTAGGGTAGGGTAGGGGATTGTAGGGTAGGGAGGGTAGGGTAGGGTAGGGTAGGGTAGGGTAGGGTAGGGAAGGGTAGTGTAGGGGTAGGGTAGTGTAGGGGTAGGGTAGGGTAGGGTAGTGTAGGGGTAGGGTAGGGTAGGGTAGGGGATTGTAGGGTAGGGAGGGTAGGGTAGGGTAGGGTAGGGTAGGGTAGGGTAGGGTAGGGTAGGGTAGGGTAGTGTAGGGGTAGGGTAGGGTGGGGTAGGGTAGTGTAGGGGTAGGGGTAGGGTAGGGTAGGGTAGGGTAGGGTTGCGTTCAGTAACATCTCAACTTACAAAGGGCTCGAAGAACTCGCATGCATCACCATCATACCTTACAGTTCAATTAAAAGCAGTTACCCACTTCTACAAAAATCATACCAATAAAAATGCAAGTTTCTACACCCAAACTAATGCATCCGTTAATCATATATATCAAAACATACAGTTATCGCGTAACCCTGTACCTCTAGTCTATCTACTATTATAAATCTTAAAAAGTCCGCCGCCGTCGGGGTTACGCAGCCGGCGTTACTCCCAAAAACGGCTATTGCGGCGCCGTCGATTGACGCACGAGGGTGAAATTTTCACGATTCGTGGGTCACGTAATTCAACAGGTCGTATTAAATTTTGGGCACGATTCGGCCGGGGGTGCGCCCGTGGCGCGTGCTCATGTGCGCCATGGGGTTAGCATTAGAATCGCGACCGGCGCCGAGCAGAGGGCACGTGCTTTAGGCTCAGTTTCTTCGCTTGCAAACCTGAGCGAAATCAGAGCCGGGAGGTCGTTGACCTTTGGCAATGAATACCGACGCCGGGCACCGCTCGCCAAGGGGATTCGCCAGTAAATACAATTAATTTGTTTTTGCAATATCTCAGCCGTTTCTGGGCCGATTTAGCTGAAACCTGGACTGTCGGTGGTAGTGTAGGGTAGGGTAGGGTAGTGTAGGGGTAGGGTAGGGTAGGGTAGGGGTAGGGTAGGGTAGGGTAGTGTAGGGGTAGGGGTAGGGGTAGGGTAGTGTAGGGGTAGGGTAGTGTAGGGGTAGGGTAGGGTAGGGTAGGGTAGGGTAGGGTAGGGCAGTGTAGGGGTAGGGTTAGGGTAGGGTAGGGTAGGGTAGGTTAGTGTAAGGGTAGGGTAGGGTAGGGTAGGGGTAGGGTAGGGTAGTGTGGTAGGGTAGGGTAGGGTAGGGTAGTGTAGGGGTAGGGTAGGGTAGTGTAGGGGTAGGGGTAGGGTAGGGTAGAGTAGGGTAGTGTAGGGGTAGGGTAGGGTAGGGTAGGGTAGGGTAGGGTAGGGTAGTGTAAGGTAGGGTAGGGTAGGGTAGGGTAGGGTAAGGTAGGGTAGGGTAGGGTAGGGTAGGGTAGGGGTAGGGTAGGGTAGGGTAGGGGTTGGGTAGGGTAGGTTAGGGTAGTGGTAGGGGTAGGATAGGGTAAGGTAGGGTAGGGTAGGGTAGGGTAGGGTAGGGTAGGGTAGGGTAGGGTAGTGTAGGGGTAGGGTAGTGTAGGGGTAGGGTAGGGTAGGGTAGTGTAGGGGTAGGGTAGGGTAGGGTAGGGGATTGTAGGGTAGGGAGGGTAGGGTAGGGTAGGGTAGGGTAGGGTAGGGTAGGGTAGGGTAGTGTAGGGGTAGGGTAGTGTAGGGGTAGGGTAGGGTAGGGTAGTGTAGGGGTAGGGTAGGGTAGGGTAGGGGATTGTAGGGTAGGGAGGGTAGGGTAGGGTAGGGTAGGGTAGGGTAGGGTAGGGTAGGGTAGGGTAGGGTAGGGTAGTGTAGGGGTAGGGTAGGGTGGGGTAGGGTAGTGTAGGGGTAGGGGTAGGGTAGGGTAGGGTAGGGTAGGGTTGCGTTCAGTAACATCTCAACTTACAAAGGGCTCGAAGAACTCGCATGCATCACCATCATACCTTACAGTTCAATTAAAAGCAGTTACCCACTTCTACAAAAATCATACCAATAAAAATGCAAGTTTCTACACCCAAACTAATGCATCCGTTAATCATATATATCAAAACATACAGTTATCGCGTAACCCTGTACCTCTAGTCTACTATTATAAATCTTAAAAAGTCCGCCGCCGTCGGGGTTACGCAGGAGGGGTTACGCCCAAAAACGCCTATTGCGGCGCCGTCGATTGACGCAGGACGGTGAAATTTTGACGACTCGTGGGTCACGTAATAAAACAGGTTGTATTAAATTTTGGGCACGATGCGGCCGGGGGTGCGCCCGTGGCACGTGCTCATGTGCGCCATGGGGTTAGCATTAGAATCGCGGCCGGCGCCGAGCAGAGGGCACGTGCTTTAGGCTCAGTTGTTCGCTTAAAAAACTGCGTGGAAATAATCGGCAGGTCATTGACCTTTGGCAACGAAGGCCGACACAAGGCACCACTCGCCAAGAGGATTCGCCAGTAAATACAATTAATTTGTTTTTGCAATATCTCAGCCGTTTCTGGGCCGATTTAGCTGAAACTTGGACTGTCGGTGGTAGTGTAGTGTAGGGTTGGGTAGGGTAGGGTAGGGTAGGGTAGGGTAGGGTAGGGTAGGGTAGGGTAGGGTAGGGTAGGGTAGGGTAGGGGTAGGGGTAGGGGTAGCGTAGGGTAGGGTAGTGTAGGGGTAGGGTAGGGTAGGGTAGGGTAGGGGTAGGGTATGGTAGGGTAGGGTAGGGTAGGGTAGGTTAGGGTAGTGTAGGGTAGGGGCAGGGTAGGGTAGGGTAGGGTAGGGTAGTGTAAGGGTAGGGTAGGGTAGGGTAGTGTAAGGGTAGGGTAGGGTAGGGTAGGGTAGGGTAGGGTAGGGTAGGTAAGGGTAGTGTAGGGTAGGGTAGTAGGGTAGGGTAGGGACTAGGGTAGGGTAGGGTAGGGTATGGTAGGGTAGGGTAGGGTAGAGTTAGATAGGGTAGAGTTAGGTAGGGTAGGGTAGGGTAGGTTAGGGTAGTAGGGTAGGGTATGGTAGGGTAGGGTATGGTAGGGTAGGGTAGGGTAGAGTAGGGTAGGGTATAGGGTACGGTAGGGTAGGGTAGGGTAGGGTAGGGTAGGGTAGGGTAGGGTAGGGTAGGGTAGTAGGGTAGGGTAGGGTAGGGTAGGGTTGGGTAGAGTTAGGTAGGGTAGGGTAGGGTAGGGTAGGTTAGGTTAGTAGGGTATGGTATGGTAGGGTAGGGTATGGTAGGGTAGGGTATGGTAGGGCAGGGTAGGGTAGAGTAGGGTAGGGTATAGGGTAGGGTAGGGTAGGGTAGGGTAGAGTAGGGTAGGGTAGGGTAGGGTAGGGTAGTAGGGTAGGGTAGGGTAGGGTAGGGTAGGGTAGTAGAGTAGGGTAGGGTAGGGTAGGGTAGGGTAGGGTAGGGTAGTAGGGTAGGGTAGGGTAGGGTAGGGGTAGGGTTGAGTTCAAAAAGGGCCCAACATACAAAACACTTGAACACCCCGCAACTATCACCATCCCTTACAGTTCAATTAAAAACAGCTACCCAAATCTACCCAAATAATACAGCTAAAAATACAAGTCAATCACCCAAACTAATGCACCCGTAACATCACATAAATCAAAACATACAGTTATCGCGTAAACCTGTACCTCTAGTCTATATTATAAATCCTAGAAAATCCGCCCACGCCGTCGGGGTTACTCCCTAAAAGGCTTATTGCGGCGCCGTCGATTGACGCAGGAGGGTGAAATTTTCACGACTCGTGGGTCACGTCATTCAACAGGTCGTATTAAATTTTGGGCACGATGCGGCCGGGGGTGCGCCCGTGGCGCGTGCCCATGTGCGCCATAGGGTTAGCATTAGAATCGGCAAAAACAGGCTATTGCTCGGGAACGGTGAGGGCTACGGGGTTGAAATTTTCACGCCAAGTCGAGCGCGTGCACTCATTTGTCGTATTAAATTTTCGACGGTGTGGGTTCAGCGGTGTGCACGTGGTGGGGCCGCGACCGGCGCCGAGCAAAAGGCACGTGCTTTAGGCTCAGTTGTTCGCTTAAAAACTGACTGGAAATAATCAGAGCCGGCAGGTCATTGACCTTTGACAACGAAGGCCGACACAAGGCACCCCTCGCCAAGGGGATTCGCCAGTAAATACGATAAATTTGTTTTTGCAATATCTCAGCCGTTTCTGGGCCGATTTAGCTGAAACTTGGACTGTCGGTGGTAGTGTAGTTTAGGGTAGGGTAGGGTAGGGTAGGGTAGGGAAGTGTAGGGGTAGGGGTAGGGGTAGGGGTAGGGTAGGGTAGTGTAAGGGTAGGGTAAGGTAGGGTAGGGTAGGGTAGGGGTAGGGTAGGGTATAGTAGGGTAGGGTAGGGTAGGGTAGGGTAGGGTAGGTTAGGGTAGTGTATGGTAGGGTAGGGCAGGGTAGGGTAGGGTAGGTTAGGTTAGGGTAGGGTAGGGTAGGCAGGGTAGTGTAAGGGTAGGGTAGGGTAGGGTAGTAGGGTAGGGTAGGGTAGGGACTAGGGTAGGGTAGGGTAGGGTAGTAGGGTAGGGTAGGGTATAGGGACGAGGGTAGGGTAAGGTAGGGTAGGGTAAGGTATGGTAGGGTAGGGTAGGGTATGGTAGGGTAGGGTAGGGTAGGGTAGTAGGGTAGGTTAGGGTAGAAGGGTAGGGTAGGGTAGTAGGGTAGGGTATGGTAGGGTAGGGTAGGGTAGGGTATGGTATGGTAGGGTAGGGTAGGGTATGGTAGGGTAGGGTAGGGTAGTAGGGTAGGGTAGGGTAGGATAGGGAGGGTAGAGTAGTAGGGTATGGTAGGGTTGGGTAGGGTAGAGTAGGATAGGGTAGGGTAGGGTAGGGTAGGGTAGTAGGGTAGGGTAGGGTAGGTTAGGGTAGAGTAGGGTAGGGTAGGGTAGGGTAGGGTAGGGTAGGGTAGGGGTAGGGTTGAGTTCAAAAAGGGCCCAACATACAAAACACTTGAACAACCCGCAACTATCACCATCCCTTACAGTTCAATCAAAAACAGCTACCCAAATCTACCCAAATAATACAGCTAAAAATACAAGTCAATCACCCAAACTAATGCGCCCGTAACATAACATAAATCAAAACATACAGTTATCGCGTAAACCTGTACCTCTAGTATAATATAGACAGATATATGAATGCCGTAAAAGGTAGACAGCAAGAGAACTTAGATTAGATATGTTTTATGTGCATTTATTTATTTAGATTAATTGAAGATTGCTAGCCTAAAATGCTTTCTTACGTAATGGCATCTAAGAAGCTCTAAGGTCACAGCATGTCTTAGCTGACGTTCACAATACCCAGTTCGCAGTGCTAACGCCACTGTTGCTTCACTGCAGGAGAGCATCCAGCAGCAATGCAGCACGGCACTTCCAACATCCAATGCGGCGTCTCTCTTGTGCACCGGACTCTGATGTTGCTGCTCGCCTTCGCTGTGAGGTAGACGATGTGGAACGTTTACGAGCGAGCCAGCAAGCTGTACCCTGAAGGGTAGAGCGAGACAGCGATTTGTGCTCTTTAGCGAGTGGCCAGTGCCCTGAGGGGTAGAACGCATCAGTGAGTTGTGCCCTAAGGGACAGTGAGTTGGGGATTGGCTATACCCAAAAGGGATAAATGTTTTGTCAAAAGGAGGTGCTGGTTTCGTGTGACGATGTGGCACTTCCACGCGAATATTGAACGGTGATCTGCGAATGAAGAGCGGCGGACTGTGAATGGTGAAAGCAAGCAAAGGATAAACGGCTAACAGCGAGTGTTAAACGGCAAACTGTGAGTGATGAACGGTGGACGATGAACAGTGGACAGTGAACTGCTAGAAAGGACTCGATCCAAGTGAACAAAGGGCACCCAAGAGCTCGCAGTGCTGAGATATTACGTGAATCATTACAAACGTGAGCACTGAACAAATATACCAACCATGATCTGTGAACAGTCTGTCGGCATATCCTCTGTGAATGAAGGACATGTCTCTCTGAGGAACGCGACAGAAGTCGTGAATGCCGCACTTGTGTCATGTTTTGACTGTGTTATGACTGGCGGAAAGAGTTGATGTTTTGTAGTATGCTGTTGCCCGTTTGATGTTTCCGTATTCCTGTTTCAGACAGTGCTATTCTACAATGTTATGCTATTTGCTAACGATGTCAACTGATCTCAAATTTCGCCAAATACATACATATATACGAAAAGCGTGACCTCCCACTGCTTCCATAACGCGAATCTTCTTCCGCAATATTTAACATCACCACACTGACGCGTCAGCACGTCAGCTGATGCGACAACTGTAACGCAGATGCGTTACATTTTTTTCATCTTTCATGCTGAACTGCAAGCTGTACCACAAGCTGAAACACGGCCATCTGCGAGCGCCGCACAGACACGGTCAGCCGGCTAAATCGGCTGTGATACCCTCTCTCCGTCCCAGCTGGCGTCCACACAGACGGCGCAGTAGGCTCTGACAAACAGGGGTCCTCTATAGATGACCACCCCACTTCATGAGAACCCGGATCTGAAGCCAACAAATAGCATACCGAAACGCGCCATTCTGCCAGCCTCGAGCCATTAATCAGTTTAGCCTTTGGAAGACAAGACTCTGTCCCACGCTCGGCACCCCGCCAGAGAACAAGGAGAGGGGAGTGCAGACCGGCCCTGATTTGAACCAAAACAAGAAAGGGGAGCGGGGACCGACCCGGTTGGTACGAAAACAGGATGAAATGGAACTCGGTCGCCAACGACAAAATATAGGACATCTGGCCGGAGCTGACTTCAAAACAAGGGGGAGCGGAGGGCCAGGCCCGCCACCTGGCACCTCAGGCGCCGTGAGCGCCGGCGGCGAATTCCACCCGATCGCTACGTGAAAGGGTGCGACTGCATGGCCGGGGGTGCCGAACTTCAGCAAATCACGAACGTTTGAAGGCGGAGCCAAACGCACTTTCTGAGAATGGAGGACGAAGATTGGACAAGGAGATGCTGCCCGGCCCTCTGAAGTATGACGTCATCAAAAGTATAAGTTGATGAAACGGAACTGGAACGCTCTCTCTGGCACTCCCTCGGACGACGCATTGGACGCCGCTCTTCGCTCTCGGCTCACAGCTGACATCGTGGACAGCCCACGAGACACCAGCGGCTGGCATAACGGCGCCGGCGGCGGCTCCGGCCGCCTGGCCGGGCGTTGGACGGACACGGCCATCATGTCAGCGACTCCATCTCAAGTAAGGTCACGGTGATCATGGGCACGCACCTAGTCCCTAAATCCTTCAAATACCCCCCCCCCCCTTTGTTACTGCTATGTGAGCCACATTATGTTTCCCTTTTTTTGGTGTCATTACGCAATAAATTAGGCCATTCAGTTAAGGTAGTTCAATTTATTTTGAGAACCTTCAGTCTAGGTAGCTTAATTTAACCATTCAATTCGGTCAATTATGTAACTGTGCGCGTGGTGCGAGACGCGTGCCGACGTGAACCCTCGTCCGGCGCCCCGTGGTGATTAAGGCGGACGGAGGGGATTATGCACCGTGGGGAGTCGGGAAAGGGACGGGCGGGCGACGCGACTTTGTGCCGCACCGCGCGGCGTGTGAGTTCCAATTGCTGGACGGCCTGGTCCCAGAACGTTTCGTAAAATTTGGCATGTAAAGGAATGAAAAGCGTTGTGTCAGGGAGAATGTAAATAAATGGGACTTGTAAATATCGTAATACGAGTGTGACAAGTGATGAAGGGCAGGGACCGGAGGATAGAACATAACAGGCCATATGCCAGCCACACAGTCAGGAAAGAGGTCGTTTCCAAGGTGTCTGGCCAGAGTAATTTACAACGATCAGTTTTCTTTATCTGTTTGATTTTACACAGTGCACACAGGGATTATACGGGGAGCACAGAACACACACAGGACCTCCCTAGCCTAGCCGATACTGGAGCTTCTCCGGTTGACTCCTAAGTGCCCTTGCCAGTGGATTTCCTGGCACTCCATCCTCCCCAAATTATCCCACGGTCCAAACAATAGCGATTACACACAACATACACAGGACCTCCCTAGCCTAACCGATACTGGAGCTTCTCCGGTTGACTCCTAAGTGCCCTTGCCAGTGGATTTCCTGGCACTCCATCCTCCCCAAATTATCCCACAGTCCAAACAATAGCGATTACACACAATACACACAGGACCTCCCTGACCTAACCGATACTGGAGCTTCTCCGGTTGACTCCTAAGTGCCCTTGCCAGTGGATTTCCTGGCACTCCATCCTCCCCAAATTATCCCACGGTCCAAACAATAGCGATTACACACAACACACACACGACCTCCCTAGCCTAACCGATACTGGAGCTTCTCCGGTTGACTCCTAAGTGCCCTTGCCAGTGGATTTCCTGGCACTCCATCCTCCCCAAATTATCCCACGGTCCAAACAATAGCGATTACACACAACATACACAGGACCTCCCTAGCCTAACCGATACTGGAGCTTCTCCGGTTGACTCCTAAGTGCCCTTGCCAGTGGATTTCCTGGCACTCCATCCTCCCCAAATTATCCCACGGTCCAACAATAGCGATTACACACAACACACACCGGACCTCCCTAGCCTAGCCGATACTGGAGCTTCTCCGGTTGACTCCTAAGTGCCCTTGCCAGTGGATTTCCTGGCACTCCATCCTCCCCAAATTATCCCACGGTCCAAATAATAGCGATTACACACAATACACACAGGACCTCCCTGACCTAACCGATACTGGAGCTTCTCCGGTTGACTCCTAAGTGCCCTTGCCAGTGGATTTCCTGGCACTCCATCCTCCCCGAATTATCCCACGGTCCAAACGATAGCGATTATACACAACACATACAGGACCTCCCTAGCCCAACCGATACTGGAGCTCCTCCGGTTGACTCCCAAATGCCCTCGCCAGCGGATTTCCTGGCACTCCACTAATCAATTTACCAACGGTCCGCACACAAGCAACACACTAGACCTTGTTGCACACGAAATATATATGTAATTTTATTCTACATGGACACTGCAAGGGATGGAACCGGGGAGATAGATGATGCACGTCACGCCCCTGTGCGTGGAGAATCCACCGACGCGGCCATGGGTTAGGAGGGAGATGAGACGCGAGTAGAGACGCGGACTGTACAAATAGAAAAATCGGGTTTCCCGAATGGCGCTAAACTCGGACAGACCCCACTAGATATAAGGCCTCGATTGAGTAAGCCCTGGATGCGTGCAATAAGTCGCGAAATTAAACGTGAGGATGAAGGCGAGTCGGGCACAGACCGCCGAGGAGGGTTTCAAGAAATGTTACCCGGTCAGCCTCGTGTCCTGGCTCGGAGGGGACGACGGGCTGTAGTCTGTCTAACCTCTGGCTAGCGGGACACGGGACCAGTGGCCCGATTGTTCCGGCCCAGGGTAGGCCTGGGTGATAATTAAGGTCACGTGGGCCGTCGCCTGGGATGTGTATCGGCGGGTGGGCCGCCGCGAGATGACGGTGTTCCGTCTCGGATTAACAGCCTCGGAGGCTGGGCAGATTTTAGGCTGCCGGGCTGGCCCGGAAGCCCTGAACTATGACTGGAGCGAGATGCGGTCATCAGTATCACGGATGGACCTTAGTTACCCAGCCCGGTTTCAAAAAGATAGGTAGGCCCGCTATCGGTCCCTCAAGTGGTCGGCGCGGGACGTCATTTGAAGAGCGACATAGATAGTTTCGGAGGTGGTTAGGACCCCGGGCGTCTTAGCGAGGGAATCGTATGCCGCCGGAAGAGTAATGCCCCGCGAAGGAACGTATAATGCCGCAAGACGGGGGTGAACATTAGATACCGAGCATTCGAGTCGGGTGATCGCAGTCAGACGGTGCTGGCCACCCGCAGTCAGTCGAGTAGCTCCGGCCATGCTCTGGTCCTTTCGAATAGGTCTGTGACGACAGCTTAACTACCAGCCACGGATAGATAGGGCTTTGGACGCCTATGTGCTGGTAGTCGACGATGTGTGTTGAGTGCAGGATATCCCCGAGTGGACCTGCGTGCGTGGAAGACGCGTGTCGTCTTTGTAGTTAGCCGACGAGAGCTAACCTTTTTTTAGGTCGCCGGGTTGGCCCGGAAACCCTGAACTATGGCTGGTGCGAGATGCGGTCATTAGTATCACGGACGGACTTTAGTTACCCAACCCGGCTTTCAAATTTTAGATACGTCCGCCGCGGAAAGCCCGGGCTACTGAGTGCCCTGCGAGCTCTAGCTCCGGAACCGTGGGCTGGAGTGTGTTAGAGATGCTGACTGACCACTGGCAGCAGAAGGTAGGTCCACGCGTGAGTGGCAGTAAGACAAGGGCTGCGTACGTTGTTGCAAAGGTTTACCGGCCCATGCTGTAAGTCCATTGTTCGCTCAACAACCTGCGTGCGTGTGTGTTTATTATTTGTGTGTAGGTAGTTCGGCATGGTCTTGGACCCGCTATAAGTCGCGTAATTCAAGGGCGGAGTGCCGAAATCTGTGGTGGTTCGTATATTCTATTCGTGTAGCGTGAGCATTATGAAGCGTTTGTCTGATGTACGGAGCATTGTGGTTATGAAGGGATAACGGTTAATGAAATTTAAGGCCAATGACTCAATAATGACTTGCGCACGCCTTAGCACCACCGGGGGAAGTTAGGCAAAGAGGGAGGGATCGGAGACGGCTAACTCTGATAATTATGAGGTATAACTGGACGTATGACAGAAGTGAGAAGGGATGCACGAGTGGAAGTATGATTGTTGTGTATATCCGGTGGGAGATAGCCCTCAGCTAGGAAAGGCGCTGTTGTTTGAGAGTGGGACTTTTTGTTAAATAGAGTTGATTTTCTATACCAATATGATCGAGGGTAATTGATTATCATTTATCATTATCTCCCATTCCCTAACCCTGGCCTATGTGTTTCCGATGATTGATCGCCCCGGAGAATGCAAAGACAGAGTCGGGACGAGTTCGCGAGGGGCTGAACCGAGAAGGGCTTTTACGAGTAGAAGCGCACCCACCTAGGCCGATTTTAACACCCCCACTCGAGCCAGCCCACCTGCTGAGAAGCGACCGCCCGGTTAGCCCCGCAACGCCGCGAAATCCCGCTACAGATTTGGCGCCCAACGTGGGGTAGGATCAATCAAAGGAATCATGAAGTCGGTGGACGGACGTGCATTGCCGAACCCAAAGCTAAAATTTCAGAGGAAATGCGAGCGTGAGTGAGAAAACGTATTATGTCT